AAGCATGCTACAAGATTGGCAACTAGGTCTCATTCTTTACAGTTGAAGTAGATAAATGTACCTTTCAGTTCAAATAAGTTGTCATCAGGAGTGAAAAGAGAAAATTGTGCTTTAATATGTGTTTTAATATAGCATTATTTTTTAAAAAAACTACATCAAATGCAACAAAACATAGCAAGTCATGCAACAGCAATGTGTAATAAAGTGTAGTACTTGACTGGCAAATAGGTCTCACTATTTTACTGTTTAAATAACTAGATATAACTAAGATCTATTATAATAGTTTTTTTATCTTGCACTTCTTGCCTCTGGTATTCTCTTCTGGCTTTTTGTCTTCCTGTCACCTACAAGCTTCAAAAATTTAAATACAGCATCAATCAGCATCTTCTTTTCTTCTGAAAACTGTTCTTTTATTGTCCTTTCTCTTCACTAAAATCTTCTTATTCCCTTCTACTTCAGTAACCCCTTTCATCTTAGTGATTTTATTCCATTGCTTGGGAGTTAAATTATTTAAAAATTAACCAGATGGAGATCAACCTTAAATCATCAATCCACCATAAATTAGTGGTATTACCTTGCTTTCCATTTTCATCTGGAAGTGGCAGCATCATATTTCTGACAAAAGATTAGAGTGAGAAATAAGTAACTGAATAGCTATGGATAATTAAGACTTTTACAAACTATACAAATATATCTGTGTCAATAGAGACCTCACAAAATATACAAAAACGAGAACCTGCAAGACTATCTTGTTACCACCCTTCTTGATGGTGGTGAATTTAGGGTGGTATTCTGGTCCCCCTGTGCCTATGTATGTGCTTTTATCCCTGTTGCATTTTCACCTATTAAAAATTACACTAACACAGAAGTTCTTGATCAGAGTCTCAAACAGATGACTATATTCCTGGAGTTCACCAGGAAACACTTTTGTAACAAATGATTTCCTCAAATTTTATAAAATTTATCCCTCACACCTTCCATACTTTTGCAGCATCTGTATTAAGCTTGATCTACCCATCGGTTTTAAGGACAATCAATTAATTTTAACATCAGTAGGCTCAGTTCTAGCTTCTCCCCAGGGAAGGAAAGAAAGCTCAATCTCTACAACATGAAATATTCTTCATTCACTGACAAGAGGTACAAATGTACTTTGTGACAATGACATTTTTTTCAATTTTATCATACTTATTATAAAACCCAGGTTGTGTGTGTGTGTGTGTGTGTGTGTGTGTCTGTTCGTTTATATATTGGATCAGATTTCTTACATTTTTCAACCGATTTCAACAAAACTTCACAGGACTACGTAAAATTACCTTGCGGTAATTCTGACAGTGCCAAAAATTGGAAAAACACAATTGTTTTTGCATGAAATCAATTTGAAAACACGATTAAGGGGCATTAATGAAAGGGGGACAACTCATATCGAGTTATACTTATTATAAAACCCAGGTTGGTTGGTTGGTTGGTTGGTTGTGTGTGTGTGTGTGTGCTCATTTATATATGGGATCGGATTTCCTACATTTTTCAACCGATTTCAACAAAACTTCACTTTTTTTTGGCAGTTAGTGTTTCTTATTGTCTTGCACACTTTTTTCTTTATTTTTACATTCAGAATGCTTTAAAAATTCCATTTACAAGACAATTGTTTATAATAAAATTCTATTCAATCAGTAGACTCATAATGATTGAAAACAATGTTTTTGTTCAAGTTTGGGTTTGACCAATTTGTAAAAAGAAACTAATTAAGACATGCGTGTCCATCAACCTTAAACAATAATCTTTGTCAATTTTATTTTTCAGTCTTTATGATGGTCGATACTTGATCTATCTCTTACTGTTACATCCCCAGGTAATGCCGGGCTCTACTGCTAGTAATAGATAAATGTGACATATTTTTTTTAATCATTTCACCCAAACAAGGCAATAAAGCCACTAAGATGCAAGGGGTTACTGAGTGTTTGAGAATATGAGAAAAAGATACCATAAGGAGAGAAGACAAAAATAATGATTGATATTGCATTTAAATTTTTGAAGAATAAAGTTGACTGGGAAGCAAGAAGCCAAAAGAGAGTTCCATAAGCAAGAAGGGCAATAGAAGAAATTATTAGCATAGAACTTACAGTTACATCTAGCCATTTCAACTGTAAAATAATGAGACCTAGCAGCCAACCTAGTAATGCACTTAAATTTATAAAGTCTTGGTACCATAACAGAAAGATCATAAGCACAATTACCATGAAAGTATTTATAGAAAAGGCACAGGGAAGCTACATTATGGAAGTGAGAAAGGGACTGAAGCCAAAATGCCAGGTCAGGATCCATAACATTGCAGATTCTTCTTTGGATTTTATCAAGAATCTCTAAATATATAGCACCAGAGCAGATGTGGCCGTAATATTCAAAGCACGGAGGAATGGTAGACTTATAAATGTCTCAGATGGGATTCTGGCAAGAACAATTATTTAACACAAGACAGTGAATCAAATTTGATAGTAGCAGAGCTAGCAACTGATTCTATATAATCTTTCCACTTCATGTCAGTGGAAAACATTAGTCCAAGAAGGTGCAATTGAATCACCCTCCTGGAAGTCAGCATCAGTCATGCTGATGAAAGATAAAAGGATTATCAGCTACTGAAGATTTGTGCCCCGCCATCTGTGGAGATGATGCAAAGTCTTTTTCTTTTCTAACTAATTCCACCCTAATCAAAACAATAAATCCAGGGTGACAACTGTTGAAGCTCTATAGCAAAACACTTGACTTATAGTTGGTTGACAATACCATGAAGATAGAGATGTGCCTCAAGACTCTCCAATTTGGAGAACTATCCTTCCCAAAAGGAGGCATGGTGGAGTAATGGATAGAGGCTTGGACTGAGGAATTGGAGAGCAGAGTTCAAATTCCACTTGAATCCATTACATTTACTTACACGCTAACACTCTTGAGAAAGGTATGAATCCTCTTCTTCTCCCCCAAACTATGGGTAAATAGCAGGATTGACTGGGTTCTATAGCCTAAGATGTCAACTGGTCTACCACAGAAAGAAATAGCAACCTACAGCAGGAAAAAATCTGCCTCGTCAGTCACATATTGAAAGATACATGATCACCTAAGCATGTATCACGCATGGCACATAACTGACTGATCCTTCTCAAATAAATCAAGCTTACCTAGCAGTTCAGACATTTCTTTATCAAATGCTTTTGCATAATCTATAAAACACAGGTATGCTTCTTTTTTTATTAATTTAAAAAGAAAATGAAATTTATGTCCAGAAGTGTACTGTTGCATTCTAAAACACCATTTTCATCAGGTGATATTGATAAAGGCAGAAAAAAAATGATGACAGAATTGATAAAGACAGTAATATGAGGAAATAATCTTTCTGAAAATGAATGTAACAAAATCCGCATAAATCCTTCACTTCTAGCTATGCTAGTTTTGGGATATTTTGTTTCATAATAATCGCACCCGAAAACTTCCAACATACAAAATGATAATTAAATATTTAATTTGAATTTAAAGCATGATATATTTGGACAACACATGCCTGAACATAACAATAGAGTTTTCTATTCTTCTGAAAAGAATTTATCTCCGACACAAAATTATATCAGAAAAGACAACACAAATGCAAAAGGATATCTATCTATGTTTTATAGATTATGCAAAAAACACTTGGCAAGGTACATCACAAAGAACAGTTAGACGTGTGATATAAGCTTGAATTATTTGGGAAAAATATAAGAATAATATACAGCTTATACTGGTTAAAAACTGCCTGTTGATGGAGAGAAAATGAATTCAATAAATACACAAAAATAGATAGTATGTATCTTCTCACCAAACTTAACCTTCCTAGTAAAGCAATCCTGAGGGAATTAGAAGTCCTACCAGAATTTATTACTGGCTGCCACAATCTCAACAACATTAGGTATACAGATGACACAGTGTTGACAGCAGATACAGAAAAGAAACTTTGGGAACTCCTACTAAAAGAAGTAAAGAAAAGTGAGAAGAAAGGACTGAACTGTAAGAAGAGAGAATACATGGTTGTCAGCAAAAGGGACAGCCCAAGATACAAATTACAAATTGGGGATGTCAGAATTAATCAAGTACAAAAATTTTAACATCTAGTAAGTGTTTTAACAGAGGACTGAAAAGACAACATCTAAATCCGAAGGTGCATTGGATAGCAAAAAATGCCTTTAAAAAGGCCTTAAAAAGTTAAGCAAAGTCTTAAGAAACAGGAAAATTTTATTGGAAACAAAGAAAAGAGTACTGAACTCTCATGTAATATCAGTCCTCTTATATGGCAGTGAATGCTGGCCAATCTTCTCATTGATGAAGAAGAGACTTGAAGCAACAGAAATGCAGTTCTACAGAAGGATGCTGAGAATACCATAGATTGAATACATGAGCAATGATGAAGTTTTACAAAAAATGGAAACAAAAAGCTCACTTATATGTAACATCAGAAAGAGACAAGTAAAATTTCTAGGGTACATGAGGAAAAAGGGCTTGGAAAATTTGACATTCACAGGACAGATTGAAGGCAAGAGAGACAGAAGAAAGCAGTGCATAACCTACCTAGAGAGCTTGTGTAAATGGTTGCCATAATAGGGATTATGAGAGATAGCAAAAAGACAAACTTTACTAAGAGCTAAAAAGTACAAGAAGTTGTGAAGAGTCATCATCACCTACATCCTGAAGGGACATGGCACATTGAAGAATACAATCTCTAATGAACAGAGAATTGATGCCCCCTGAAAAGAAAGAAAAGCCTCTTTATCTCCTGCGGATTCAATACCATCAGTGGGCAACTGTAGCTGAGAGAGCAACATGAGGCAAAGGAATCTCAATACCTATTCTTTGTTGAGTCAAACAATAGAAAAAAGCACAGGGAAAGAGGTAATTCTATAAGACACCAGTGTTATAGTGTTGCCTCTTTCCCTCCACCATTGATTTCTGAAACCTTTCCTGCAGTTGATATGAAAAATATGCTTCTCTCATATAAGCCAATCAGAGAGTCTACAACAGATATGGAACAGATATGTCTCTGTTCACCTCAAGCAAAGGTGATAATGCTGCTAAGATGCAAAGGTTTACTTGTAAAGAAAAAGAAGACTTCAGTGAGGAGAATAAATGTACATGTTTCAAGAAGAAAGAATATGATGACTGGCATTGCATTTAAATTTTTGATGATTGTAGGAGTTCAGGAAGCAAGAAAAAAGAGAGTTTTAGAAGTTATAACTGCATGAAATAGAATTTATGGTTGTATCTAGTGAGTTTAAAAATAAATCTGTGAGACCTAATTGCCAATCTAGTAGTGTGCTTAAATTTATTCTGTCAAAGTACCAAGGAGGAAAGCTCATCAGAACAATTGCTATGAAAATATTTGTAGAAAATGGAGAGAGAAGCCACATGATGTTGGTGAGAAAGTGGCTGAACTCAAGATGCTAGGTCAAGTTTGATTAAATTAGAGACACGTCTTTTCTTTTTGTCAAGAATCTCAAGATATATTGTAAGGGTGTTTCATTAAGACAGATCAAAGTCAGTAGTAAATAAAACAGTGTTATTGGTGAAAATTTATTTATTTCTCTATCGGATCATGTTATTTAAGTCATGGCAATTATTTGTGAAAAATAATATCACCCAAATATCTGCCAAATCTGAAAGAAAAAGAAAAAATCATTAGATGCTTAAACTTAATTCACATGAAAATTGGTCCAAGTTATTGGAACAGCCTTTAGGACCACCAGTCCAGATATGGCAGTAATATTCAATGCACTGACGCATGGTGTAGAAGTCAAATGACTTACCTGCTAACATGGCTGCTAATCAGCTAGCCAGCTAATCTAACTCATTTATAGGAGATTACCTAATGCAGCAGTTGGATTGGTCCATTTTGCTGGAATGGATCTGCCCTACACATTTGCATGAATGGACTCTATTCACCCATATATATCTCCATTCAATGATCCAGGGCGATGCAACTTGTGTTGACTACACCAGTCTACTTGTGTGTCAGACCACTTGCAAACAAACCAATATTCTACACATGGTAGATCTATAAATGTGCAAGATGGATTCTGATGAGAAAAATGTTTGGCATGGTACAGTGAACCAAATTTTCTAGCAGTAGATGTAGAAATTGGTTCCATATCAGTGGAAAATGTGAGTCCAAGAAACAGAATGAGTTGCTCAGCTGGAGGCTAGCATCAGCCATACTAATGGCAGGCAAAAACAGTATCTATAGTGATTACATGAAAGCATTTTTGTTTTGGAGGCATTAAAAGTTACAAGTCATTCATTGCCCCAGTTAACAACTGACTGTAGGTCCTTTTCAAGAGCAATTGCCAGTTTTACTCTATGTGTGTGTTTGTATGAGTGTGTGTGAAACCTTTTTCTCTGAAGCACCATTGCAATCCTAAACTATCACTATTTCCATGGCAAATAAATATTCATTCTTGAGCTCTACCAGTCCAGACATTTAGAACTCAGACATGCCATGTTACCTCTGCAAATTAACCTCATTTCCTCTGCATTCCAATTGTAAGGAGAAAATTCCACTGACAGGTTTTCCCCAAAAACAGGGACTTTGTGGCACAGACACACTACAGGTGTGTGCTAGAACATTACAATCTGGACCTCTTCAAGTCAAAGTGTCAAGCATTATCTATCCTTCACATCCTCATAATCTTCACTTCCTACCGCCTCCTCTTTTATTCATTTGACACACTTCATTCACCATAAACATTTTAACAGTAACCCTCTACATTACAATCTTAACCTCTTTGTGTCATGGGTCAATTATTATCTATCCTCCTTATCTGTATAATCTTCCCCTCCTTCTACCTCCTCTTTCATTCATTTGATGCACTTCATTAATCATAACCATTTTGATAGTAACCCTCTACACAGTGGTAGCATCCTAAATTTTCAGGAACTGGTTCTATAAAGGCAGATAATCTTTAGGAGACATAGTGGAGTAATGGATAGCAGCTTGGATTGAGGAATCGGAGAGCTGAGTTTGAATTCCAGTCAAATCCATTACATTCACTTATGTGCTAATACCCTTGGGAAAGGTATGAATCCTCTTCTTCTCCCCACAGCTATAACAGGACAGAACATGTTCTACAGCCTTGATGAAAAACTAGTCTACTGCAGAAAGAAATGGCAACCTACTGCAGGAAAGAATCTGCCTCGTCAGTCATGTATCGAAAGATAAATATTTGCCTAAGCATGTATCACGCATGGCACATAACTGACTGAATCTTTAGGAATCTATTCTGCTTATTTTCTTTTCAATCTGAGAATGGAAACAAATCACTTTATAATATCAAAAAGAATTAAACCATTTTCATAATTTCATAGAAAACATTTATTTATTAAGATATTTCCAGATTGAAATCGTTTCATTATATTTTCTGTTCACAAGTGTAGCATAACTAACATTTTACCTAGACTAATGGCTATTAATATATAATTATTTTTGGATACTCCATCAACAAAATTGCTAATCTTTTATCATTTTAAGAATTTGTTCATGCAAAACGGTAGAATGCCACCACTACCTCTACACTACAATCTCAACCTCTTCAAGTCATGGGTCAGTTGTTATCTGCCCTTCTTATCCTCATAAACTTCATTTACTACCACTTCTTACATTCATATCAAACAACTTATTCTGGAACCCTCTACCTTGAGTGGGTCACAAACCTTGTATTTTCTGAGCTTTAGTATTAAAAAAAGACATATATAGCCATTTGTCAGTGATCTAGTCAAAATGGTATAGGTGGTGCTACCTAAATTTTATTGGGAGTTATTTCTTTTTTTTAAAATTCCAGGAATTTTATTTGAAGCACACAAAAGATTTTAGTTGACACCATGTTAGCAGTAAAATAATGCAAGAAAAAAAAGACAAGATTTTTTAATAAGGAACTAGAGATATTTTTCTCTCATTTTTCTTTTGTATCTTTTCCTTTTTTTCTTTCTTTTTATATTTCTCCTTTTCCTCTTTCATTCTTCCTCTTCCCTTTGAACTGTCTCCATCCAAGAATTTTACCCAGTTTTCTCTCTTTTTTTTCTTTATTAGTTTTTACTTTCTTTCACTATTAAATTTCATGCCGACTTTTGTGTTGGCCTTTCTTTCATGCATATCGTTGATTTCTCTATCTCTATGTAGATTTCTATTGCATCTATATTGATACTAAATTAAAAAAAAAAACATTAGGCATATCACATTACATTTCCTTGATTGGCAGAGAGGAGCCATTTTGTCTGTATCTTAAAAAAACATTTCCTCACTAATTTCCACAAGAGGTAAAAGCAAAAATAAATCTGCTGTTTTCTAACCAATCAACACGTTTTCAAGGCAGAAACAATTTTCAATTCAGATTCTATGATTATCTTGGTTTTGCTATATTTCTTCAGTTTCATTTTCTCCTTCTTTTCTTTCAATTATCTAAGCTTTTCTTCTTCTTTTCTTTTAATTATTATCTCCTGTTCTTGTTTCTTTCATTCAATTGCTTTATTTTCTTCTCCTCTTCTTTCAATTATTTTTTCATCTTTTTCCTTTTTTCAATTATCATATTTTTTCTTCCTTTCTTTCACTTATCTTCTTCCTTTTATTCATTTATCTTTTCTTCTTCCCTTCTTTCAACTGTGTTCTCCCTTTCTTCTTCCTTTCTTTCAATTATCTTATTCTTTTTTTTCTTAACTTCTTCACCTGTCTTCACCTTTTCTTTTTCCATTCTTTCAATTATTTTCTCCTTTTCTTCTTTCAATTATATATTTCTTTGTCTTTTCCTTTTTTCATTTCTGCAAAATCATTTACATACTCTTTTCAATTTTTTTATCTATTTTCCTTTCTTTTTGTCATCACTTTCCTTTTCATTCATTCTGTCTGCTTCTTACAAATTCATTTATCTTTACTTCATCACCTTTTTCCTTCTCCTCATCAAAATTATTCTCTTTATCTTCTTTTCTTTAGTGTTTTTCCTTCCTCTTCTTTCAATTGCTGTTTTCTTTTTCTTTCCCCTCCTCCTCTGAATTATCATCATCTTCTCTTCTTTTACCTTCCATTTTTTTAAATTGCTCCTCCTTTTTCCTTTTCCTGCACAGAAATATCATCTACTTTTCTTCTTTCTTCTTCCCGTTCTTTCAATTGTTTCCTTCTTTTTTGTTCTTCTGCACAGAATTATCATCTTCTGTTCTTTTTCCTTCCCCTTTTTTAAATTGCTCCTTCTTTTTCATTCTCCTGCACTAAATTATTGCTTTTTTTCTTCTTCCCCATCTTATCAATTGTTTCCTTCTTTTTCCATCTTCTGCAAAGAATTATTGTCTTCTTTTCTTCTTCCTTCTTCTACGTCTTTTATTTGTTTCCTTCTTTTTACTCCTTCTTCCCAGAATTATTTTATTCTTTTCTTCTTTCTTCTTCTCCTTCTTTCAATTGTTTCCTTCTTTTTCCTTCTCCTTCACAGAATTATTTTATTCTTTTCTTCTTTCTTCTTCTCCTCCTTTCTATTGCTGTTTTCTTGTTTCTTCTTTTTAGAATTATTTTTTCTTTTCTTCTTCTTTTTTCTTGCCTTCTTTCTAGTGTCTTCTTTTTTCTTTCTTTCATTTATCTTCTTTTTTTCTTCCTTGCTTTTAATTAACTTCTCTTTTTCATTCTCTTTCCCTTTCTTACAGTTGTTATATTCTTTTTCCTTTTCATTTTTAGAATTATTTCCTTTATCTTCTTTTTATTTCAACTTCTTTTTCCTTTCTTTTCGTTATATTACTATCTTCTGTTTTCTTCTCTTTCAAATTCTTTTTCTTTGTATTTTTTCTTTTCCTCATTTTCATTTTATTCCTTAGAATTATTTTCTTTATGTTTTTCTTTTCTACTTCATTTTTTTCTTTCTCTTTTTCCTTATCTACTTCTTATACTCATCATCTTTTACTTTCTCCTTCTTTCAATTATGCTATCATCATCTTCTTTTTCCCCACTACACTCTTCAATTAGTATTTTATTCTTCATTTTCCTCATTGGAATTTTTTTCTTTTTCTATCTTTCATTTATTGAATTTTCTTCTTCGAAATTCTTTCTACACCTTTTTCTTCTCTTTTCATTTTTCTTCTTTTTCTTCTAGATTTTTTTCTTAACAAATATTCCTATTTTTTCTTCTTTTTTCCTTCTTTTTCTAACTCGTCATTTATTTTATTTCATATTTTTTCATGTCTTTCTTTCCATCAATTTCTCTCTTCTCTTACACATTCTGTTACCATGTGCCATTTTTTAAAGAAAAAAAACACAAAACACACCAAATAAAGGAAGAGAAATGAGAAAATCAAGATGAACAAAATTCCTTTGAAAAAATTACATGGAATTTGATTATGTTTGCATGAGAAACGTTTCAGTGATACTGCAATACAGCTTGGACATATGTGGGATTTGATGTACAGTTAATTGTATTTTAGGAAAGAAACTGCATGAAGAGATAGAAGTTTGAAAGGTTACATTCTACCAATGGATGACAAAGGATTGTATAATATTCTAATGAATTTAATTTTAAAGGTAAGATTATACCAATGGATGACAAAGAACTGAATCATATTCCAATAGTCTTAATATTAAATGTTACATTCTACCAATGGGTGACAATGCATTGAATTATATCCAGATGATCTTAATATTAAATGTTACATTCTACCAATGGATGAGAGACAATTGTATAATATTCAAAGAAATTTAATCTTAAAGGTTAGATTTTACCATTGGATGACAAATGATTGTATAATATTCCAATGAATTTAATTTTAAAGGTTAGATTTTACCAATGGATGACAAAGAACTGAATCATATTCCAATAGTCTTAATATTAAAGGTTACATTCTACCAATGGGTGACAATGCATTGAATTATACTGAAATGATCTTAATTAGGTAGCTCCTCTAATTCACTGAAAATTGAGTATATGATTAAAAATACCACAAAGTTAAAAAAAAACAATTGTTATAATTGAGAGGAAAGACCATATTATTTTTTAACTATCTAAATACATTTTTTAATTCTTTCTAGCACATTCAAAATTTTGGTCAGCAGTGGGGACCCAATATTATTGTAGAAAGTTTTATTGTCTTTTTGTCACAAAAACTACATCAATTTGAAAATTCTTTCAAAAATCAAATAATTTTCAGATTTTTAATGAAATTTTCAGGTCTCTTTGACAAACGAATGAAATTATTTTAGAAATGTGTTTTGTTTTTTAGAAAATCTTGGTAAAAATATTGTTTTTTAACTCTGTAATTCCAGTCACCTACTTAATTTTATAAAATTTCAAGAAATTAAATTTCACCCCCTTAATATTTATATTAGTTCAAAGCTGAGCTCCTTGGAGAATTTAAATCATCAATTTTTTTTGGAAAACAGAAACACCATTTATCAAAACTCTTCTCTGAATAGTAAAATAAAAAATGCAATAAAACTAAGACATTATTTAATTAGAAAAATCTTTTAATTGCTTTTATAAATAAGATATATTAAGGACACTATTGTCGTAAGAAAAAAATTTATGATTAATGAATTTTTACAAAAATTATTTTCATTTTTTTTTAAATTTAAAGTTAAACATCTTTTAAAGTTCTGGATTAATTTCACCCTTTTAGATATTATTATTAAGTGAAAACTATATTTACTAATCATAAATAGAAATAGTACAAATCATCAAACACCAATATTTTTTAAAAATTTTTTAAAATAATTGTGAATTTGTTTTTTGTATTATCTATAAACATGGTGATTTTTGTAGATACAGGTGTTCATACATGATAATATCAGAAAATAAGAGCGATAACTTTAGTAAATCTAAAACAAAAGTATTTACAATTTCATAAAACATTAGATTATGCAGAATATTTTCCTAAATTTTTAAGATTACCGAGTAGTTAAAAATTATATAAAAAAAGGCACTAGCATCATTTTTTCCAATTATATTTTACAGATAAAATCTTCATAGATTAAGATTAGATCTGTCATCACACCGTCAGCATATTAACACCTTAAATAAACAGATACTGTCGGTTAAAAAATGAATTTCTGCAATATTTTAAACTTAGAGTAAATAATATTTACTTTAAATCAGTTAATATTCCTCAAATAAAGTTTCAGAAATGTATATTTTATTTTTGGAACATTTTTTATACAGAGAATTACATTGCAATAAATGCAGGCTAAAAAATGAACTAAAATCAAATCTTTTAGCAATAAAAAAAAAACTCTTTCCAGTCAATTTGAATTTGTTTTTACATAGAGCAAAGTATTGGAAAGATTGAATTTAATTGATTGACTTGAAATTAAAAATAAAATAAAAGCTTCAAGAAAGACTTTTCATTTGTAAAAATTCATTTTAAACCTTAGGTATTGGGAATTTGTGGAGGTACCTAATCTTAATTTTAATGTTTAGTTTCTATCAATGTGTGACAATGCATTGAATAATATTCAAATTAACTTAATTTTAAAGTTTAGATTCTGCCAATGAATGACAATGCATTCAATCACATTCAGATGATCTTAATTTTAAAGGGTAGAATGGGTAAATGCTAAGATTTTTTAGAAATTATTTTTTCTAATTTTGGCAAATCCATCTTCGAAAAGATAATTTTTTACAAATTATTTACTTAATTTTAATCTGTCAGTCATGAAGGCTAATGATTTTAGAAATTATTTTTTCTAATTTTGGCAAATCCATCATTGAAAAAGATAATTTTTTACAAATTATTTACTTAATTTTAATCTGTCAGTCATGAAGGCTAATTTTGAAATTATTTTTTAATTTTGGCAAATCCATCATTTAATTTTTCAAATTAACTTAATTTTAACTGGTCATTTTTTTTAAAATTATTTTTTCTAACTCAAGTGAACTGGTCATTAAAAAAAGTTTTTTTTTTTTCACAAATTATTTTTTACTTAATTCTATCAATTATGAAGGCTCAGATATTTAAGCTTATATTTTTTTTACTTCTGTATATGAAAATTGAAAGGAAATAGTCTTATTAAATTTTATCCTGTTTTGGTAGTAATGAATTGCATTTAAACCCATTATCTTAAGATACTGAACAATGCATATTTGAACAGTCTAGACTAATTTTGTTACAGAGTAACACACAAATGATTTGCTGTATCAATTCTGAATATAATGCCATTGAATCCATTTATTTACTTTCGTTTTCTGCTGTCTATTTATTGACAAATGTATTTTTGTCCTTCCCTTAATAATCACTGAGTTTTAACATGAGCAATATCTGTTACTATTTGCAGGACATCCAGCCTACTCACAATTTCAGGACTTTTCTCAGTATTCTGATCATTTCTAGCAATGATGTCATCTGAATGTTTTTTGTTTTTTTTTATCTTTCCTTAGATTTCCAATTCTTCCATTCTCATTATAAGAATTTTCTGGACAATTCCAAAGACTGAAATAATTATGAGCACAAGTGTCATCTTCAAATTCAACAATTGTTTCAATTTTTTCCAAGGTCAAAATATTTTACCAATTTTTCACTTTTTTCAAAAAGTTACTTTGTGATTTGTTAGAACAATGACAGACTAACATATTAAATATTACTGCTTCTGTCCCACAAAGGTTGGAATATTTGATATACAAATTTCATACATTGATTGTACCAGTTATTATGGGACAGAGATGGTAAACAATATTATCATACTGTCTTTGTCCCATAATATTTTTGACATTTGCATACACAACTCATATATTAATTGCACCAGTTATTGAGACAGAGCTAATACAATATATTATTATAATATCTTTGTCCTAAAATAATTGTGACATTTGTATATACAGTTCATACATTGATTGTACCAATTATTATGGGACAGAGTACACTATATTATTATAATATTAATTGTGTCATTTGTATACACAATTCGTACATCGAATGTACCAATTATTATGGGACAGAGATAGTACATTATATTATAAAGATTTATGTTTTTTATACAGATTTTTTGAAAATTTGAAATATCAAACAATTGCCCAATAATTCACTACTTGTGATAATAAATATAACATCCTTATATTCCAACATGCTCTATGAGGATTGGGTCCTCACCCACAAAAATATTACGTCAGTTATTTCCAATGTGAGTTTGTGATATAATTCAATTAATTTTGACTCACAACAACTTTAAGTTCAATGTTGACCATGTTTTACAAACCGAAGACATGGCCATAAGCATTATCATAGCTGTGTTTTTTGTTGAGACAAGATGAGGATTAATCTTGCACATAGCAAGTTGTTTTAATTCAAGAACTGCTTTTGGCTTGAGCCTATGAACAAAATCTTTTCTTTTACAACACAGTAAAAAGTTTGGTGGTGTAAGGTGTGCTGATGGTGATAACCATTCAGTTGCTCCATGTTGTGTTATCCAACTCAGCTTGAAAGAAAAAAGTAAATAGAGTTTACTTCTGCCACAACCTGTAGTTACCCAGTCCTCACTTTCCAGTCTTGATAGAGTTCAAAAGTGTCTCCGAGGCATTGCTGGAGAAGAATTATTTTCCACCTTCCAACCTCTCTCTCTCACAGGCGGGATATGGTGAATCTCACCCTGCTCTATTTCTACTACTATGTAAAGTTCTTGAATGAACTACATGCCTTGGTTTTGAAAGGTCTAACCTTCAAGGACCTGCCATGCCGCTTACATTGTAACAAACCACTCACATTCCCTCTGTATTCCATCAGATAGAAGTAAGTTCCGTACAAACAATGTCTTCTTACAAACCACAGCCATATGGAACAGACTCCCAAAAGGATGTTTCCACAATTGCTACAGTCTTAACCTGTTCAAGTCTAGAGTTAACCATTATCTTCCCCTCCTATCTATATAAACTACCCCTTAACATAACCCTCTACCTTGAGTGGTTACCAGGCCTTGTACAGGGTGAACCTTGCTGTCAAAAAAAAAAACAATTAAAAATATATATATATATATATATATATATATATATATATATTATGTGACTAGCTCATCATGGAAAGCTGTAGTCTAATGTTGGCTATGTAGATGTCCTTCCTGACAGGCCTGCAGGGGCATTTATATCAGTTTTGTGATAAAATTTACTGATCAACCACC